AATTTTGGTTGTTAAAAAAGGCAGGGGAGTATTTTGTCTGCACAAAATAAATAATGGTTTTAGTAGCCAACAAATACTCTGATTTAGTTTGACTTTAGTAAAACAAGTACAGTAAAGATGTAGAAAAAATTGATAATCTGTAAATAACTTTAACTAAGCTTTCTTAAAGTACAGTTTGAAAGTGGAAGCAAAAAAAGCATTATATAGATGAAAGTCCCCAAATAGTTCTTTTAGAAGTTTATGTTCAACAAATAGCATAAAATGTATCTACTGAAGAGAAGAGAAGAGACTGTAAAAATTGAAGTTTCTGTAAGATTTTAAAAAGACAAAAAAAGAAACAACAACAAAAAAAAAACTAACCAAATTTTACACCTTTTAAAGATGATTAAACACTTTACAACAAGCAGTCAAATAAAAATACTAAAATTTGCTGATGACTTTATTACCGTTGTTGTTGCACCTGTTGCGGTTTCCAACTAAATTGACAGCCGATGATGTCGATTGTAAAACTGCTTAATTTTTGTTAACCTTCTTATATGTGTTTGGAAAGCATTTGAGAATTTTTTGGGCCACAAATTATGCTACTTTGAAAAAATTGAATGCAGAAAAAAATGATAGAAGGGTGTTGGAAACCTATAAAGTCAAAAAGTACAGCTTAATTTTCTTTTTTCAGGAAGTACTTTCTTTCCTCTGCTTTTACTTGTTTTTTTTTTCGCGAGGCTTTGCTGTTTTTCTTGATAAGCTTTGTTTGAAAGCATAACCCGGTTTAAATGGTTAGATCATCTGCTTTTTGACTTTTTTCTTTTGAAGTTTTAATCTTTCCAGTGTTTGTCATGAAGGTACAAGTCAAATTTGATGTAAATTAAATTTTTTTTTGGGGCAAGTTAGTATGTACGCCTAATTTAGATTTATAAATCATTTTTCAAAAATGAACATAAATCAATATTTTTTTTCTGGTTTTAAATCCTTTTTTTTTTTTCTAGGAAGGAAACTACTCAAGGTGTAGGACCTTTTATGTGTTCATTTTAAATAGCATTCTTTTAAAAGTTTTTTTTCTTATAAGCAAATGTCTTTAGATTAATTCATCTTTATTTCTGGAAACTTTCTATCTTCTAGAGTAGAGAATATAAACGTTTCAGAGAATGTCAAATGTTACATATATGCAAGCGCTACTTTGTAATTGAATTTTTAACTGTCCTTGGCACTCAGTGATTATCCGGAAGTTAAACTTTGAAGCTATTTCAACTGCAGTGAAAGTAAATTTGTTGGCCGTAAGAGGTTCAGAATATTCTGCTAAAGAAACCATATTACAGCAGAAATTTCACAGTGTTTTACACAACAATATTCAATACTTAACTATACCAGATTATACAGTACTTTTGCATATTTAATCTATCTTTATCACTGCGTTCAAAAACTATCATTTAATTAATTTTTTTAGTGCACAGGTAAAGTTTAAGAGACATTTAACGGTTTTCAAAAATTAGTTAATCTGATCGTTAGAGCGTTACTTGATGGCAATTGATTGATTGCAAAACTGCAGAAGGTGAGGAAAAAGTTACAATAAAGAAGCAAAAAAAATGGAAAAGAAAGTAAGCAGAAATATATTTTTTGTAAATGAGGAAGTAAAAAAGTAACAAATTTCTTGGCTGCCTGCAATATGTCGAGAGTTTTATCTACCCTCTATTATTGTCTAAAAAAAAGTAACATTTGTCACATAAGATTTTGATAAAGCAGAATATTTTTTTCTTTCTGTCATGAAAAAACACATCAGAAATATAAAAGAAACAGCCAAAAAAAAAATCTGAAATAAAATTTCCATCATTTTACAGTTTCAATTTTTAATAACCACGACAAATATCAGTGGTGCAATTGACTTCAGAACAGTAGCTTATCAACGTTATCAATAGACTATCTGGTAGTTGGGTGCCATCTGAAAGCTGATTCTGTTTTGTTTTTTTATTTTTTTTGATGAAAGACTTTTTCTTTTTCTGCATTCTCTTTTCATTCAGTTTTCATCCATCACCATTTTCGTTTATTTAACTCAGTTGCTTCAACAAATATAACCAGATGACACTTGGGACATTTAAAAAATTTCTGGGCATCTTCAAAATTATACCGTAACGTCGTTCCAGTAAAAATACGTTTGTTCTAGTCTTAGCTGTAAGTTTTAGAATCTCTTCCATTACTTTTCAGCAGTATTTATCACGTTGAAAAGAACGACAGAAATAGATAACAGAAAAGCTTTTTAAAAAAATAGTGTTTAGAATTGAAATTGCCGAGAAACAAAATTAATTGTGAACTTTGTTGTTGGCGAAGACAAGTGTATCAAAAAAATAGGATGTGAAGCGTTTCCTATAAATTTGATAGATTAGATACACACTTTACAATGACACGATTACCAGCATTATCATATTACCACCACCATTTCTGACAGCAGCGAAAACAAAAACCGTACAGTTGGAAGCACTGTAAAATTAAAAACACATTAATTTAATTAATCAAAATAAAAAAAACAAAAATTTGAGAGGTGCGCAGAAAATGAGTAACTTTGGACTTACAACAGCTGATTGTACATACGACTGTATATTTCAGCTTTGAGCTTTGATCATCTTTATTAAAAAAAAAAAAAAA